ATCTCCCCAAAACCCCAAAACCCCATAGTTTGGAACGTAATTATGAAATTAAGAATAAATCATTTAAAATCATAGTTAATTCTCAAAAATTGGGACTTACTAGTCGTTTCTAAATGAGGAAATGTATATAATTGGTTAAACTTTGACTGCACTTTGCTATTTTGAAATATATTCCTATTCGTCTTTTATATGGGCAAGTCTATTTGATACTTCTGTAATAAACTACTCGCAATTAATAATCTGCTGGCTGATAATTTTTCTAGCTTTTCCTGATTTCAGAATAAACTTGACCTCACATTCATCGACTATTTCTTCTATCAGATTTTAGTTTAAAAGCAAATTCTAATTGTTTTATTGCTATATCAAGGCATTATCAATTTTCTTGGGGGCTTCATGCTAACCATAATTGTTATCACCTTTTTGATACTCTTTCTTTTTTTTCCAAAATGATTTTTTCTTGGGTATTCTATAATGTCTGATGGTTATGTCTCTTATTTCCTTTATCAATATGTGAAGCTTAAGCTGATAGAGGTTTTAAATATAAAGAATTCTCTCATCTGTGCATATCAATATCCTTTCTTTGAATCTAGATTATTCTTCTGAGCCCATCTTATCTGAAACATCTTGACATATATGTATGTTCTCATTCTTGAACACTCCATTGTTACAGGTATTAATAGCAGCAAAGGCATGAGAAGAGATCGGCTCATAATTCTTCATAATCTACATCTCATCAAAGAACCTTGGGAATCTAAATCTTTTGTATCTGAAGTCTTCATGTCCCTGTGCATGATTTCTAATCCCAGTTGAAGTAGAGTGAACAAATTTTAAGATTCCACTTACAGGAGACACAATAAGCCCAAATAAACCTTATACTGCGCCTTTTGAGACTTACTTGCAGCCTTTACCCTCTTCTCTAACTCTATTAATTGGAGTAGTAACCACACCAGCAAATCCTTTACCGAATTCTATGGCAAATCCTTTTCCACCTTGATATACTCCACTTTAAATACTGTGAGGATCATCTAGATTAGATTCTGATATTTACCTTCCCGAGAGATTTGAAATAGACATATACCATGTTCCTGTCATCTTGGACACAGAATTCGAAACTCCTATTGCTGTGTTAGAGGCAAAGCTTTTGATTCCTTTAGTTATACCTTTCATAGCTTGTTTAGCACTCCCCTATAATACTCCTTAGAAAGGCTCTGAATAAAGTAGCTCAACTCCTCTTCCTAAATTGTTTATTAGACTGACTGGATTTCCAATAATATCAGTTGCACCAAACACCTAATAGATTTACTCCAACCCTTGCTTCACATAATGCTTTGTAAGTCTCTTCTGAAAGTCATCGATATTAGTGTATGCATCATTTATCTCTATTTCACTGAAGTATAATTATGCATCAGAGACATTAGCGAAATTCATGAAAAAGTTGATAATCCCATTTGACATACCCTCAGTACCAGATGCTTGAATTTTCGATACCCTAAATGTTAGATATATCCTCATAGCCTTGATTACTATTTTCTGAACTAGAATCTTGCTGGAAACCAGTCCCTTTTACTCACTAAACATGATTGGATCAGCTTTGATAAAGGGACACACCTTATCTCTGGTAAGAAATTTCTTCTCGCTCTCTTTCTTTTTCTCTTCCTTCGTTTACTTAAATGTCGGTCTCCTTCTAATTTATTGGCCAGTGGCTAGCTCCTCTAGATTCTCTTATAATGCATCTCTTTCAAATAAAATTTCATCCGTTTCAGCTCCTCCAATCCTTCCATCCTAAAATATTTGGACGTTCTGATTTTAATCCAATACGATTTCATAAAGTCTTTGATAGTTCTTCATCGTATCAGAGTTAGCAAACTAAGTCATGTCTTCGTCTGAGACCAACTAAGTTAGAGAATTAATAAAGGACGTCATTTGGTTGAGGAAGTACTAATGAAAGTTCACTGTTATCTCTGTCACAGCCATACTGAACTCATATACTTTCTAGTTCGTGATACTCTTATCATTTAATATTTCATGATCAAGGTAGATTTGCAGGAATTTCTGCTTCTCCCTATCGAAATTCACCATCGTGTCTTTAAGTAAGCCTACTTTACTTTTCTCTAGCCTTAGCTATCCTGATTTAGTATTTGTAAAATAAATAGATCTTACTTTATTAGAAATTAAACGCTTTTCTAGGCCCAAGAATCACTGGAAAGGATCTCGCTGTCATATTATCTATTTGCATATTCACAAGACTGAACTTAACCTCTCTTCGAGTTTACTCAAGGCCGTATTTATTTTTGAAGTATCGCTAAATGATAGTCAAAAATGATGTTTAGCCTTACAACTTTCTATATCATTTTAGGCTTATAAATGCTTAAGTAGCAGAGTTCTCTAGGCTAGAAGTCTACTAATGAGATTCCAATGCCTTTTATATCTAGAATCATTTTAGTATTGGTAGTAATGCAGTCATCTGAGAATTCATCTAATTGATCATTTCTAAAAAATTGATAGGAATTATTATTCTTTCGATCATTAGGCTCCTCATCATTTTTTTCATTAGCTATGCTGTTTTGCCTTTCAAAGACGTCTTCTTTTTATTCAGAATTTCTGAAATGTCTATTTGGACTTTTTATCTGATCCTAGTCAATCTCATCAATACTTTGATTCCTCTTTTGAGGGCTATATCTATTTTGATATTCATAGAGATCTTTTTATTTCTCCTCTTCCTTTTAAATTTCGTTCCATGTCTTTTCATCCATGAAGTGTATATATCTCAAGTTGCTTGTTGCTTTTGTAATTATATAATACTGAGAAAAGATTAGCAAAGTAATCTTAAATTTACCTTTTTATTTTGAAACTTGACCTCTTTTTAATAGCTATCGATTTCATACTTAAATTTAAACAGTTCATTTTTATACTCTTCAGGGGCTTTTAAACCTTTTGGAAACAATTTAATAATCAACTATAGTAAAAATTCAAGCTTGAGTAAATTCTTTACATAATCTTTATCTTTTTCTAGAGGATTGAGCAATATAATCTCTTTTTACTCTGATTCAAAGTAGAAAATATCATTTCTAAAATAAAATCAAGTTATTAACGATTTACTATTCCTTTCTATTTTGATTTTTATGCTATATTGATAGATTATAATCAGTATTGTTGTACAACACATATTCCGGGTACACTATATTTGATATTTATTAGAATATTTCAGTTACAAGGATAGCTAAAGGTGATGTAAAGTGTAGCATCATTCTCTGAGCTAGGTGAGATATTAACTCTGACTATGAATTTATCTTCTCTTTGCTGCCATCCGTGTTTCTATCCTTATAAAAATGGCATATTATTCATCTAATTGGGCAAAGATATCTGAAACTCATCTAGATCCTTTACTGCAAATTTGTAACTCCAGATACTTCTATCAGTTGAGTCGGGATACTAGCAATATGTCTAATTAAGGCATACTTCTCTTCTGTCCTCAGAATCAGCGTTTAATTGAATCAGAGCGTCTATTTAGTAAGCTTCTCCCTCATCCATCATCGATGCTTCTCTCCTGCTAGGCAAGTGTTCATTATCATTTAGGTTTTTGTTATTTGAGAAAGATTGTAAAAGCTACTAATCGTCTCCAGATCTTTTAGAAAGTAATTAGCCATCTGGTAGGTTCTTAAAATTTTCAGATAGCAATCCATTTTTGAATTCCTCATCAAAGCATTAATTTTGATTATTTCTTTCTGTTTTCTTGGTCTCCTTCTCGACATTTATAAGTCTAATTCTTAGAAGTCTTGGGTCGATATACTTAAAGTTCATCGTTATCTCATCGTCTGGGACTATGAATGTTTATTAATTAGATTTTTCTTCCTTCAAAACAATGACTAAGCCAATCTGATTTATAATTTTATATCTTGGCTGGAATTTGATAACTTTTGTTCTCGAATATGGATGAGGACAACTTGATATGTAAGTACCAATCTCAATATTTTCATTGATGCAAGACACATCTTAAGAATGAACATCTTTCTTATCGTCTTGGCTAGCTTTGATATTTTTGTACTATTAAATAGTACCAGAAATCCCAATTGTGTTTATCAAGAATGGTTTAGATGCCTCATAATCTTAGATTTAGATTTGAATCCTTTTCTGTCTAGGTGCTATCAAAATATTTGAGAATGGATTCATCAATGGTGGGTTCCTACTAATTCCAAGTATATTAATGCACTCTTCAGTTCTGTTCACTGCAACATATGGGGCGTAAATTTTGAAAAATATGCTCTTAGTCTTTTTGTAGATTATCTGTCTGAGATAAAAATTGTCATATTCTGTCTCTTTCAAGCACGAAGTTTGCTTTACTTTCTCGAATACTATTTAGACAATGGTAGGGACTGTTTAGTCTTTCTCGTCAGTGTTATTTAGAGTAGTGATAAAGCCTTTGCTGAAAAAACAATCTTTATGCTTCTTAACTTTCTTGAGATTTATCTGCATTTCTTTTTCATATATCAGTCCAGCTTTAGCCTTGTGTCTTATAACTATCTACTTTTTAGGATCGTCATCTTCATGTGGATTTATGCAGGTAAGATCTTATTAAACATTAGTTTTAAGTAATGCCAAGGATTATCTTGTTTCTATGGTTCCAGGAGTCTGTAATTTAATCTCTGTAAATAGTAGGTTGTGCAAAGTCAAAATCGGTTGAAATACTACTAAAAACTGTCCAACATTAGTCTTAGTCTTTAAGTAAAATATATCGAAAGATATGTGTTCTGTTTCAGTGATCTTTAAAGTTTTTGACAGATTTTTATTAGGCCTAATTACATTTGGGTCAAATGCTTTTCTAATCTTCTTTATTAGCAGAGGATTTTTATCTTCTTTGTGGGATAAATTATTAATAAACTAAAGCTCAGTCAAATACTTAAACCATGTAAGTGGTGTGTTAACAACTTTATCTTTTCTGATTTGTACTTCTATAGTTTGAATAGCATTTAATGCATGCAATTTAACAGTGTAATTGCAATTATTAAAGATTATTAAGCTGGACTCGAAGTATACATCTATCTTTTACTCGTGTCTTGTGATCCTCACAATACATGAGATATCTGAATTTTGATTTCCCAAAAAATCTCTTTTCTTTTTGGTTTCATCAACTAAATAGTAGCCAAAAATCCCATTTCTCTACAAGACTATACTTTTGATGATTTTAAATCCCTCCAATTAGAAATCGATTTTGATTGGTAGCTTTGTCTATTTATGTTTTATACTTGTAAAATTCTTTTCAAGATCTTTTCTGAAGATTGACATATCCATTTATTTATGTTCTTTTCCTCCAAGTCTATAAATATGTTCATTTTCGAATTGCTTTTTCTTTAAAAGATCTTGATAGACGCTCAAGCAAAACCTTATATCTAATTCAGTTGTGTTGTGAAATTCTACTTCTGATATGTCCACTTATGTATCTCGAGCAGTATGAAAACTCTCATCTTTATCGCTAATAGAATCATCTTAATAAATTTTATTATTGGATTCTCTATCTCTTTCTTTTGATTCCTCTTTGATATTATACATGTTGGTTATTAATTGAATAGGTGTGCTAAATAATTAAGACCCAATATGTCTAGGGCTGAAAGCCTAAGCATTCATACTAGATTATCTTTTACTTTAAATATTTTCTAGTGTGGGTAGTTTTAATTTATGAATAGGCATTGGAGTTTGTACTTAGCTATAATACATATTTCTTTAGTTTTCCTCCATCTCAAGAAGGGTTCTTATTACTCTCTGAATATTTGCTGCAAATCCATAGGTCAGATTAATGTTGAGCATCTGTTCACTTTTGAACTCTTGTCTAAGTTTTGATAAAGGAGACATTTACCTGAGATCCATTTAAAAGGGATATTCTTCAATGAAAGATTCTTCTGAACTATTGCTTTTGTTGAAATATAGTCCAATCAATGAGAATTTGGCATTCATCTTGAAAAACATTAGATTTTCATCATCCGTTATCCTTTCAATCTAAAATAGATTTTCCATTCTATATAGATTTTTAACATCGAATTCTCTGCTTTCTATTACCATTGCCACATTATCAATCTTCAAAGTTACCAATGAAAGATTTTATGCAGATAAGTTGTCTTCGAAATGCATGTGAATCCCTGGGATATCAAAAATCTGAACGAATTCAAAAAAATCTTTTCTTTTAATTGATGCCAAAGCCAAATTCTTTCCTTTGAGCCAGAGAGATTAAACCTTTTTTACTTTGTTTCTTAGCAGCTTTTCATTGGTTAATATTTCCTCTAGAGTATATCTTTTTTAATTAGACTGTTATCCCATTATATATTTTTCCATTTCTTCTAACTTAGTCTATAGTTCAGATTTTCTTTCAGAATCTTTTGGATTAGCAGCATCATCAATGTCTTTTAAGAGTTTCAGTACTTCGTTAAGGAAGTTGAAAAATAATTGGCCTAGTATCAGATATGAATTTAGCTCAACTAGTCCTGCAGAAAGATTTATGGGTTTGCTTCCAATATATGAAATCTCTGATTTTTGATAATTCTCAGAATCACTTAGAACTTCACTATAGGATTTCATAATGATCTTTAATTCGTATGGATGTAGTAGATAAATCTTTTAAGGCTATTATTGTTGCTATTCTGCAAATTTATTAGTTGAAATCAGTCCATGATTACTCTATATTATGAAATTAAGATAAAAGAATTATAAGACTATGTATTCATTACTTTATTTTGAATGTAAATGGACAACTAAGTTATATCATAAGTCATTATTGAGCAATCACTAGTTACTGTGGAGCTAATCCATGTCTTCCATTTATCGTTCATAAAGAGATCTAGATAATTCGTTCTACTTCCCATTTCTACAATCAGTGAGCTACCCATTTTTAAGCAGAGTGAAGACTTATCATGAAGATTTGTTGGAATCAATACCTCCAGCATTTCAGCCTTCAAATAGACTTTAAGAGATACAATTCTTTTTTCCTATATTTAATCTTTTTAGGGGATATGTTTGACTGCTTCTGGAACTTTTTATTATTCACGTTTTGCGTTAGTAAGTTTCTTTAGAACTGCAAGCTTTTTCATCTAAGCATCTTGATCTTGATAAGCTGACTAAAGAACAAATTATGTCTTTGGAGCTTTTTTGGTACTATCTCTATCTTATGCAATTGAATCAAATAAATTTGACTTTGTATTCTACTTCTTTAGCATCTTTGTCCTTTAAGTTTAAAAGCTCTTAACTGTTTATAGTTTCTTAATTTGATCTTTTTATGCCATGAAATCTTTAATCAGTCTCTCTATTTAGTACATATCTATCATAAAATCAGCATAAACTTTGACAATGGTATAAAGTAGAGGTACAATAAATACTATTCTTAAATGAGAAATGTTTATTTTCATTTCTTATTCGTCACCAATTTCTGTGAAGCAGATGCTTAGTTAGTTAGAAAAAGATTATACTTCATGTTCTGGATAAAAATTGTAGAAATCATCAAAATCTATTACTATCTCTTGTGTTTCCCAGAAAAATCTTATAAAATGATCCTAATTATGATTTGTATATCTATTCTCAAAGGATACCTGAGTTTTTGTCTTAGGGTAATGTGATAAGAGTGTTTTAGTATTTTAAACATTTTTGATTGGACTTATCTCAGAGTTGGACTTTTTCAAAATTTTATCTTCAAATTCTGTATTTGGATTCAGAATAAGATATTTGAAGTTAGAAGTATCTTAATCTTGGTCTTAATAGGTGATAAGTAGCTTTTAAATAAAGAAGCTATAACTCATCATTATCTTAGGCTGAAATGTGAGCCTTCCTTTGATTTATTAAATCTCAAAATCAAAGATATCTTTGCTCCCAGAGATTAATTCCTCATTTATCTCTTTGAATGAAATCGTCATTCTTGAGAATATCATGTTAATCTAAACAGAGACAGCTTTTTTCGCCTCATCATACTTTCCTGATTTATACTATTGGCGTACTTCTTCTACTGCAGTATCAAAAGCCATTCTTTTTATTAAATTGAACAAAGATTCATTTTCACGAGACTATTTTTATTTATCTTGGACCATTTCTCTAACAACTGTTTCTCACTTTTCCTCTGAGCCAATTGTTTCAAAATTAGCATCGGCATCTTTCTATATTAAATCAGAATCCATAATTTCAGGTGGCCTTGGGGGTGGAGCATTTGCAAATAGATTGAATTGAGTCATGAATTCTAAAATTGTAAGATTTAATTGAGATTAATTGAAGCTTACTTCCTTATGTGACCAAATTTTACAAGATAAAAATGCTTTAAGTAACTTTTCTTGATAAGTTTAGCTAAAATTTTTATAAATATTTAAGGGAATTACCTCAAAATCCTAGAATCTAAAGTTCAAGACTTAGGCAGGAAATTGTTAATGGAAAGGTACGAGACACGTTTTCAATTCGAAACCAAAATTAATCTCATTTGAAATTTCCAACATCTTATCACTTAATCTCCAATTTTAAGATCTACTATCCGAATAGTAGTCAGACATATAATCATCCAAAAGCCTTTTAGAATTAAGACTTGATACTCTTTCTCCCTAAAAGCCTTGAAAGGTTTTTATTATCTAAAGATCATAATCACAAACTACTTTTAATTTTCCGAATTTGACTAATGTGGTATCATAGAGGATAGACTAGTCTGAGGCTTTAGTATAATCATATCCTTTCATCTTCTCAATCAAATTGGTTGAAGCTTCAATCAATCCCAAATCAATTATTAACGTAACTGGAGTCTATTCTATACACTAATCATCATTTAGCAATTTTTCATAGATAATGACCTTAGGAGAAATCAACTTAATATCCATGTCTATACTTGGGGGCTCATAGTTTCCATAGGCTAAATTTTAAAGGATTTCATAAAATTCATCTTGTTTTTTCTCTATTGCCTTTTGTAGCATTTCTTCATAAAATGATCCTCTATTTATATCTTTTCTCACATCAGGTGGAGATTTTTCAATCAATCGTACGAAATTCTCATTTACTCTTGCTATAATAAGTGTCCAAAGCTTAAGCATTTTAGCTGCAAATGAGAGGTTGGCATAAATGTAGGACTATCCCAAATTATGAAACTTTAATCTTTGAGTGGCTACTTTACTGTTTTTAGGACTAATTTCATAAAGTATTTCTAATGCTTAACTTTATCTTTTTTCTTTGCTTGACATCTAGATTGTGTCTGAAATGACAGTTTAAATCACGAAAGGAAGATCTTTATTTGGGGAATAGTGATCAAGAATAAAAATGTTTTGGAGATTGATGCTGCTCGAAAAATAATTGGGTTTGCTTTCAGACCTTAGAATCACCTCTAATCCTTCAATGACTGAATCAAAGAAAGGAGGATTTTTATATCTTTTTTTAATAGTTTATTGGCTTGGTAAATGAGTCTATGGGTACTCTTCTACCTTAATCTCTTCATCATCTGCATCACTTATGCTTTAGTTAGGAATGTCAAATCTTAAGCCACTTTTCTTAATTGACTCTTAGCTGAAGTTAAGAGACTTCTATATATCTCTAAATTCTTCTCTAGGCTAATCATCATAAATCTCAAATTAAAATTTCGGCATGTTAAACTCAAATATCATAACATAGTTTTCTTTAATCTACTCTAAGTTTAAGTAAGGGTCATGCTTCAGCTAAGCATATTACTCTAGTTCTTTCATCCCTCTCTCGTATCTCATTTAATACATATGCCTAATTAATCCATAGCCTAATTCAATCTTCTTAATCTTAACTACTTATTCATCAGAGAGGCCAGCCTATCTTTCATTTAGAAGCATGTCTTATTAAATTTCATTTTCTTTTCTCCCAAAGAAAGGTATTTTGGATAGTAATCCCTTCGACTAAATTCTCTGCTTCATTGACTCAAGTTCTCTTAATTTGTCATTTCTATAGTGATTAGCCCTATAAAATATAAAAAATAGAAGAAATAAGATACTTTTCAAGACCATAAAATCGTTCTTAAATTAACTTTCTCAGCATAAAAATAAGATCAATTCTAAATTAATCTTCTATTTTAGATAGCTTTTCAAACAATTTGCCTGCCTTCTTGGTATTTCCCTTATTTTTATAGTAAAGGTGCTAATGATAAAGCTATATGTATTCCTAAATCTCTGTGCTTTGAACATGAAGTGTTCTTTCGAATATTTTTCTTAGTACTCCCAATCTGTATGTGTTATAGAGTCCAGTAAATGTCAGAAATTAAAATAAAGCATGGATTTAAGCTTCGCAAACCTTTAACCTCAACCAATTTTTCTCAGTCAAGGTATCGAACATATTTCCAAACATGACGGATATCTTGATATCTGGATCGTCTTTATATAGATTATTTTCTAAAACTCTGATTTTGTCAAGAATGAATTAGAATCTTATATCCAACTAAAATTTATGCAAGATGTTATCTGGATTGAATTCGTCCGAGAAGGCTTGATCGATATGTTGTTAAAGCCTCATTTGGATTATTTCCTATTTATTGTCTGCATCTTTGAATTCTTTGAGCTTAATTATCTTGTCTATTTGAGAATTTTCTTTATCGTTTTCTAGAAATATTTGAAAGTCTTAAATCTTTATGTTTTTAAACATTATCTCAGGGTCTTTTACTAGATCAATTTTATTCCAAAATCTATCTGTTGTATCTACTTAGATAGAAGGTAAAAGTACCCCTAGCGCGTAGGGATATTCAGGATCCTCCATTCTGAGGTAAATCCTCTTTATACTGATTTGCACATTTTGAATCACTTCAAGCACATATTTATTCATTTTCTCCTAATCACCTTTGTATTCCTCGAATATGTACTTAGAATCTTCCTCTTGCTTTTATAATGTCTGTTATTTGTCCTCTTGATACTCTTCAAATATAACTTATTAGTTCCACTCATCCATTGGCTTCATTCTATAATCTATAGTGAGACAAGCGAATCAAATCTTACATGAGGCATATAAAAATATCTGATACTGAAACCTTTATCTTCGGATGTTTAAGTTATAAGAAAGATGGTAATTCAATGGAAATACTTCCAATTCTACCATATTTTAGCTTTAGAGGAAACGGCAAGTTCTTAAGTAGTTTGTCATTAAGTTCTAAATCCTTTAAATCTACCCGACCCCTTAGCAAGCTTATTTTTAAATTGGACGAGTCAAAATTTTGCAAGTATGAGTATAGGTACTACTTCAATACCTTCGTCACTAAACCTTCAATCATTTTTACTTCGAAAAAAACTAAAGAATAAATTAATTTAGAAAACCAAATGTAAATTATTTTTATTGTCTTTAACTTGCACACTTGGGGTTTTGGGGTTTTGGGGTTGGGG